TTGAACATACCTCATTCTCTACATATATAGGTAATATGTACAAAAAAATGATCTGTTTGGCATTTTGGCTTTTACTCATTTTTAAAAAACTTAATGTTACTGTAAGTTCTCAGCCAGCACATACAGATTAAAAGCAAACTTAACATCCACATACCCTTAATGTATGGAGGTGGAATATTATAAAGGTCATACAACTCTCTTTGGCTAGCAATATATAGATCATAAAATGGCCAGAACGTCATGAGTAGGAACCATAATCTGAGTAGTTACCGTATAACATTCAAAGTAGAGGATACACATATTCTACTCATTTTTATTTCAGAATTCTTTATACCAATACTGCAAGGATAACAATGGCAACTTAACACTGAAACGTCCAATTACTTCATCGTCTGACTTCTTCTAACATGCCCTTTAAAATTACAGTATATTTTCTTTGAATGACACCTCTTCATAGTAAAATGTAGACACTGCTTATACACAACTAAAATGACATGTACTCCTTACTACCATAACACAAACCCCTAAGATACATGGCTAAAAGATAGTGCAATTCTATATGAAAACTGCTTTTTGTAACCCAAATTTGAACTACAAAAGCTTTAAAAAAATCAGCCACAGATTATGGAGACAGAAATGCACTTGACATTATTTAAGTCTGTACAGTTGTTTCAACAATTCAAGTGCATGAAAGAACAAGTCTGCTTCATAACAATAAGAAATGTACTTACCATCCCCAACAGCCATTAAACAGTGGAAAGACTACTAAGGGTTTTTCCAATGATCCAACTTCAAACTGAGTAACTATATGTGCCTGCGCCACTCTCAATTCAGTGCAGCATGAAGACAGACAGAGCACTGTGTGACCCAGTCAGAGCTGCAGTTCTATACTGCAATAGGCAACAGCTGCTATGCCATTTCAAAATAGAAGTCCCGCTTCTTAAAGGAAACTCCTTCTACTCACTATAACCAGCCTGATTCCTGCTTAAACCAAATGATGCATATACCCTGTGAGTAAGATTTATCTCCTCCCCTTCCTCTCCATTGGCTTTGTGCCTTTTCTTTGATATTCTGCTTGTAGCCAATGAACATTATTCCATAAAGATTTCTAATAGAGTCATCAAAACACAAAGCATGTGTTTAGTTATCACTTTTTGCTTCTATTCCCTAAGGATTTCTGTGTAATCAAGAGTAGTCACATGACCCAGTGATGATCTGATTTACATATCAACAAACAGAAGGAAAGTAGTAATTTTCTTTAGCCTTTTGTTGACGGGGAAGCTGTCTTTTCAATCTCCCATTGTACACAATCATCAGTAGCTGTTGTAAACAAATCACGTCAAAGGACGGCAGTCAAAGGCTCTTCTGTTTGGAGAAGGCTGTGCTGTTCCACAAAGATTGCTTCTGGTAAAGGCACTGACACAAAACTGAACCAACCACATAGCTGAGACAAGTCTGCAATGAGTTTCATATCTTAGGTAAAAAAAAGTTAAGGCAAACATTTCTACTAGGAATTTTAAAATATATATACATCAAAGCCAAGAATTTAATGCCTCTTCTCTTCAATGTTGGGAAAATTTATATCCTTTCTTCAGCTATCCAATCACAACATGATTTATTTTTAAAATTCTTCCTTCATTACAATGCTAGTAGACCCATTACGTTTTTCTGAAAGAAAACCTTGCCAATCAATATTCATTCACATTTAAAAATACACCCTGTTCCTGCAACAGTTCTCAAAAAAGCACTAAAAGATTTTCACTTAGGAGAAGGATGTTGGAATTTCTATAATGTAGGAGCAGGGGAAGATTTGAATAGTAAAACAGAGCAGTTATTATGTCAGACTGCATAGAGAGAGGTTCAAATCCTGAAGAAAGATCTTCGATAGATCATTATCTCACTGCCTAATCAAGTCTTCCAAGCTCCATGGAGGAAGGTTAGGTCAGAAATATAAACATGTTTAACTAATGGACTGAATAAGAAATACTACCCTGCTCGAGTCTTCCCCTACTTCACAACCTCAATTGAAATACTAGTTATTCTGATCCCTGCCTGTCCTCAAATAGTTGCAGTGTCCTGGTGCATAACCTTTTTTTCCATCCATTTGGTGTGATAAGTTTCCCCAAATGAAGGAGAAAAAGAGATATTTTTACATCCCCAAAGATACTGCCAAGGAAGAATGCATGCATCTCCCTCTGCCTCCTCTTCTCTCGCTCATTCCTCTTCGTTTTCTCTGGGTACCCAACTTTCCAGCCTAGCCAAGCTGGGAAACCACAGTTTTTCCTGTCATTCATTAGTTCCTTACATGGAAGGCTAATACAGTGTTGACAAATCTGTTTCCAGAGTGGGTGGATGGGTTTCTTTTTAAAAGGTGTTTCTGCTCCCAAATGTATTTTTTCAGCAAGTGCTTTAGCCTATAACCTTATGTCAAGCCTACAATTGGATACCTTCCAATGGAAAGCACTTTGTCCATTAATCAGAGGTATCAAAATAGGACAGAGTAACAGATGGTCTTATTTTATGTTTATCATATAGAGGAAATAGTATATGGACTAAAGTGCTCCTCATAAATGTATGTAAAATAAATGTATTACACACTAACATGATCTAAGGCAACAGCTAGCAAAAAATAATAATACTAACAATGTAAGCTAGCAAAATACAAATATACCTAAATGGAAAATGCTGACTAGCTAATGACCAACCAAAAGGTCTAGTAAATACTATTAGTAATACCATATTTGCCGGCGTATAAGACGACTGGGCGTATAAGACAACCCCCCAACATTTCCACTCAAAATATATAGTTTGTTATATACTTGCCGTATAAGACTACCCCCCTCTCTGCACACCTTCCACACACCAAATAAAAGGTGCTATTCATTGTCACCATTGTATGGCCGCAGCGCCTCCGCCCCTCCCCTGCATCTCCCTGTGACCGGCACTAGTGCGCAAGTGCTCATGTGCGAGCTCTGCATAGACAAGGGGCGGGGTGGAGCGCCATTGCTTCCTGCCGAGCAGAATGCGTAGACAAGGGGCGGGGCGGAGCGCCATTGCTTCCTGCCAAGCAGAACAGCCCCCCCCACTTGGAGGCATGTTTTTCAGGGCAAAAAAGTAGTCTTATACGCCAGCAAATACAGAACTTTTACTTGCAACATCTTATGCAGTGAAGTATAAATAGTTTGCTATTGTGTAACAAGGTTTACCATGCTAACTCATCTGTTTTAGTTAAAAGCAATGATTTGAACTAGTGACACTATTCATCCCAAACAATGGTTTAAGTCTTCTGATTTCTATTTGGAAATCAATATTTGTGCATATTTTTCACAGTACAATGACTGTAACAAAGCTACAAAATTCACAAGTTACTAGTCCACTGATATTTCCACAATGATTGTACCTCAAAGGGGAAAAAAAGATGTGAAGCAAACAGAGCTTACAATCCAAATAAGTGACAAATATTTATGGTTCAAACCTAATGGCTCAAACCTAATTTTAGAGTTATATTTCTGGAGTGATGTAATCCTAAATTCTACTTTTCAAATTATATTCATGTCTGAAAATAAAAAATCTCCTTTATTAAATGCCCATGTTAATAAAATACATTATGGGAGGGAACACTGTTGCTTACAATTGACTGGAAACTTCATTAAAATTGCCCTGATGTTAAATATCTTGTGGGAACCTTCCCAAACCATGCAGAAGGAGCAGCATTTCCAGAACTCAGCCTTCAAGAACAGCAATTCTACAAGCTATGCTGCTATCTGCAATGCCTGTTTCCATGGAAATAGTTGTTCATTTGCTAATAAATATGAGAAGCTTAACACACCTCTTGTTTGCCAGAATGCCACATCAGTTTTCATAAGGGTACAAATGAGACAGCTTATAGCCTTAATACTTGCAAGTATTTGAAAACCACACCAGAAATGTCATGCAGCACAAATGCCATGCAACATACACATCTTGAAATTGAAGGCACTTACTATGAGTTAGATACCTGCATAGACTTGTAACAGAAATGCTATTCTGCACTTAGTGTTTGCTTATATAAATCTATTTTCTAAATAACCCAAAACTGTAACTGAGCCTCCCCAACTCATAAGAGTTTTCAGCCTCAAGGGGGAAAAACACAGTTCATATGATACATGAAGGCAGTTTAGAATTAAAATATACATTATATGCAGCTCTTTGTCTTATAGACACAATACACAACTCTGTTTTATTCCAAGAGGACCTTTTAGACACAAACATTTGTTCATGGAAATTGTTAGCATATATCATGTAAGGGCTGTAAGGCTACAGAAGATAAAGAGGGCCTTTTGAGAATTGGTCTCACACAGAAAATAACTGAATTTCATGCAATATTCTCAGCATCAATCTGCTGTGTTACAATTAAGAATCTGATTTTAGCAAAAAAGAATTAAGTCTTAACACAACCTTCCTCTTGGCAGGTATCATCTGGTATTTTTTACTAAATTTGGCATTTACTCTTGATCTTTTATCTTGGGGTCATTCATACAAGACATTCATGCTGTTTATCACTTCAATTATCTTTCAACCCTATAATATTTTCCAAGGAAAGGGGAAAAAATCATTTTTACTCAAACTGATGCTTTTTAAAATTTGTCTGGCATTTAAGATTAAGAAAAACTTTATAACTGTTAGAACAATACAGTAATGAAACCAATTACTTTGGAAGCTGGTGAGCTCTTCAACATTTAAGGTACTGTATTCAAGAAAAGTTAAATGCCAGATATGCTTTATCCTGGATTGCTGCAATGAACAAGCAGTTGGACTCAGTGGCTTTATAGGCCTCTTCCAACTCTATTGATCTATGATTCCATGTGGAAGCATTATTTTCCAACCATTTCTGAAGGCTTTCGAACTCACAACCATGTAGTCAAACATTGGCCAGCACTACTGTCCTCATCTCAGACATTTTTAGACAAAGATAGTCAACTAGTTTGGACAACAATTCAAACACATAGCTGAATACTCACCACTGATGTTGCTTGAAATCATATTGCCACTGTTTTTCACCTCATCAAATTTCATAAATATTGTTTGCAACCTGAAAAGTAGCACCACATATCAATACAAATGAGAGAACTAACATCTCACCCCTCTCCTCGCCCTGATCTGAAATTACTATTTTATATTATAATTTATTCTAGTCCAATGCTTCTACAAGATTTATTAAAGCCTGCTTCAAGCACTAATTTCTAGCAATATCAAGAGAACCACACACAAATAATTAAGCCAGTGACGTATGATTTACAAAGTTGTGTTGAACCATAGTGCAGTATGTTTTTAAAGTATACAGAATAAAAACAGAAGATGGTATTTAAATACAGGTGATATAGCAAAGTACATATCTTCCTTAATTAATAAGCAAAACATGTCAGATACACATAAAACATCTATCTTGAGTTCATCCATCTACTCCTGGGTTTCCCTTTAAAATGTGGTTTTGGTTTTCTCCAATATTTTTTCCAGCTAGCTTGCCTCATTTTTATACGTCCAAACCATTTTTGTCTCTGCTCTAATTTCAGCAACAAATGTTGGCTAGCTTCCTGGCGCTTGCTGTTCCTAGAGCCTTCTAATCCTCCAGATGTTAGATTTGTTAATTCTTTTTAGGTAAGCCATAACCTGCTACTCTGCTACATTATTTAAGATTCACAGCCCAAGTTTCAAAAGTAACATCACCTACAAGACTTATTACAGTATTATAAATATTTAAATGTACAACTACACCAAGGACACACTGTAGATATGGTCAGAGAAAGAATGTGGTGCAAGGTGTACCCACTGTGCATTCTCTATTAAACGAAATGGCATATTCTAGCATTATTATATATTACCTAAAACTATAACATTGCTCAGAAGTATAGTTTTTCACAACAAATTGATCCTTGTCACTTCCCACCGCTAAATACAATGCATATATGACTCTGTAGTATACTAGAAACAGTCAGAGACCTCTGTTGTTCCAATGCTCACTCATCACTGCAAACCTGAATTCAATCTGAAGCTGTCAAAGCAATTACTAAATTCAAACAGCAAGAATAATATGTACAAGAGCATCTGGAGAGGAAACAAGGAATACAGTTTCTTAAAAAATCCTTATACTGTACACATTGTGGGCAATGCACACTTGCACTTTTATTTTCATTTAAGGATTAAAAGATGTGAGCATTCTTGAGAATGGTGAAAGCGTCTTCTCTGCTTTCTGCAGACTGGGAGATTATCTGTAACCACTGTACAGTACAGATGGTGCATTTATTCACACAGGGATTTTATATACGCAAGCTGCTCTAGGAATATTCTAGACCTTTAGGCTGAGACTTGGATACCAAGACACAGCTCACAGCACAGAGGACAGAGAGATCCAGCAACATCCCTACTTCTTTTTAACATATTACAATCCCTGACATTGTGACTGGAATATACTATTAAAGAAGGAGGAAGCTATTTCTTCTGCATGGCAATGAATAAAGGAAAAAACATGTGAGAGGAAAATTTTGGTGAATTCTATGGCACAGTTTAGGTGAATAATCTATACAATCAGCTGTCACAGGTAATGGAACCCTATTCAACTATAAAAGTTCATGAATATGAGTAGATGTAAATATGACCTTGAAGGTACTCTGAAAGTGCTCTTATCTAAGGGGCTAATTTATCACCTAAGGTAACTGGGCCTAGGAGGTGAAAAACAGACATTTCCACCCTTCACAAGAACTCAAACTCTTTCTGGAGTGCATCTAGTGTTCCTGTAATTTGACTGTACCTTTCTACTACCAAGCCATGTGATAGTTACAGCTGATCATGCCAGTTGACTTATGTTATTTAGCCTGCTAAGGATGATTCTCGTCAATTCTTACTGGTTGCACTTTTAGTTTATCCTTATTAACCCAAATACCAAGTTTGTACATCAAGACAAAATCATGAGAAACTTGAATAAAATTGGTATAAGCTCTTCTATTGTCATTATACATTTAAGTTCACTACAGTGACACTGTGTTCACTGAATTCAGTGGTTTCTTGAGCCCAAGAAAGAAAAATTAATGGTCTTATTTGCCATCTCCAAAATAGGAACAAGAAACAGCAATAACAGACATAATGTATTATGCTATATATTCTATGATGTAACAAAGCCATGGATGACTGTTGGTATTTACCTTTCTGGGCAAAAACATTTCAAAAGCAAAGCACTATTTGTTTCAAGTAGGTGCTTAATTTTATTTATTTATTTATTAGTTAGTTAATTTTATATCCCACCTTCATTTATTAGTTAAACTTATATCCTGCCCATCTAGTGAACCACTTATCTAGGCAGCTAATAACAATTAGAAACTCATACACACCCTCCAAACAAAAATTAGGCAAATAATAAAAATCAGTGAAAAAGAAGAAGCAAGGGCAAACAAAAATTCAAACTCAACAACATAAATTGTCAAGAGTGTCATAGAGGGAGTTTAAAGGCCTCTTTGAAGAGCTCAGATTTCACATACCGTATTTTTCACTCTATAAGATGCACCTCCCCCCAAAAAAAGTGGGGGCGGAAGTCTGCGCATCTTATGGAGCGAAGCTGGCGATTTCGCCCCCACTGGCCCCATGTGGGGGTGGGGGGAGCCTCCCAAGGATCCAAGTCTGTCTTCCAAGACCCTTGGGAGGCTCCCCACACACACCCCATGGGGCCAGCGGGGGCAAAATCGCCAGCTTCTGGGACTCTTTTGAGGCTTGGGAAGCTTCGGAAGAGTCCCTGAAGGTGGCGATTTCAACCCCTCCAGCCCCCGGGGGGGGCAGGGTGAGCCTGAAAAGGGTCCTAGGGTGTCTTCCATAAGACGGACCTCTACATAAGGCTCACCAAATTTTTAGGAGAAGAAAACAGATTCTTTTTTTCATGTTTTCTTCTCCTAAAAATTTGGTGTGTCTTATGGAGAGGTGCGTCTTATGGAGCGAAAAATACGGTACTTCCCGAAGGTCAGGAGGGAGGGAGCCTGGTGTATGAGGCAACATGTTCCATAGTGTAAGGGCCACCACTGAGAAAACCTGGTTCCTGGTCGCAGTTTACCGGGCCTCTTTTAGGCTGATCAGCTGCAACCATGAAGCCTGGATAGAACTAGTGACACTGGTACACAATGTCAGGAAAAGCCGCTCCGACAGTTAGTGAGGTCCAAAATCATTAAGAGCCTTGTAAATTAGCACTGGCACTTCAAATTTGGCATAGAAGCAAATAGGAAGTCAATACAGGTTTGCATTGTAAAGCAAAGTTCTGTATCCTCTATCAAAGGAAAGTTCTTTTAATAATGGTCACATTATTCAGCGTCTGGGCAACCAATTTGGAAGAAAGTGAATCTACATTTGAAAAATGTCAGCTTCCAAGTGACTTACACTTTAACAATCTAGAGCCAGAGATAAACTGTTAAGTTGTAGACTACTGGACACAAATTACTCGGGATGATAAAACTCAAAAGGGACTATGAAGAGCTCTCTCCAAAATGAAGGGGGGGGGAAGGAAAATAGGTCTCAATTAAAATAAGTTCAAAGCAAATCATTCTCTGGAGTGCGCCTGTGTCTGTGTACAGAAGCAACATATATGGAAATTTATTATAATGTAGAACTGGAGTAAAGGATTTCTAAGAATGTAAGTAGGAATAAAAACCTCATTAAGATCCAAGCACTGAGTAGGAGAAGAACTATGTTCTGTTTGCTACTCAAAGAATGTGGATACTGTTATTTTCATAATGAGTTACCAAAACTGCATTTTTGTGATAATTCTGCCTTTTTGTGTCCTATGGTTTACTGTATAAGCAAAAACCTAGGTACAGTTGCTTCAATGTTTCCTACAGTCAGTCAAAAGCAAATTTAAAAAGCATTTTACTTATCATTCTGAATGAGAAGTCATCGTAAGTATCTAAGTTTTCATAATTTTTTTTTCCAACAATGGTCCTCACACATTGTTTTCCTATTTACAAAGATGCAGTCTCTTCCAAACAAGGGAAGATCAGGACAGTTCTGTCTCCCATTTGAGTGTTATCAGAGCTTGGAAATAATATGTTACAATTTAGGCATTAAGGGCTGAAATCCTATTCGGTCATTTACATCTGCAGAAGGGTGATGATGCCATTAGCAGGGACTGATTCTTAGTAGTTAGGAATGTCCTACTTTTGTCCTGTGCTTAACCACTATGCCATGGGGCTCCATATTACTTTGCATTTCTTGGCTTTTATTAGCTAACATTTCTGGGTACTATAATCAAAGTGAATTCATAGTGCTAAAGTTGGGTCATGCAGTATAAATGTAATTTTAAAAAAAGAGGTATAATCCCCCATTCAGTTAACCCACTGAGTAACATTTTAATTTATATGTCAATAATTTAACGAGTAACACTTTTTTCATTGTCAGTGTTAACAGAAACAAGTTAATTTGTCAATGTCTAATGTTCACCTTAAATTAATTAATTATTAAACTTAGCCTTGTAAGACCTAAGTGCAATGCTCAGCTGTTGCCAGGTTAGATTCTGACTACAAAAGAAATGTGAGATTTAATCCTCTGATCATAAAGGGAAAGCTCATAGTAAAAACTGTATTAGAACTTATCTGAGATATTCAACAAGTTTATGTCAATACAGTATAATCTTCAAGAAATAAATGACATCTGCGTTTCTATCAAAATAATTTGAAAACCCCATATTCAGCATAATAATCAGCAATGTTTAGAGGGCAAAGAGCTGAGAAAAATGCTTGGAAATTGTTTTTAATTGTTTTTACTAGCCACTGAAGATGTAAGAATGACAGGATCTGATGAATCTCAAAAGTTAAGGAAACTGATAGGAAAGCAACCATTCCAGCAGAAACCCTATCATTCACTGTACTTTGCACAGCTGAGGTCAGGAAGCATCTCTGATAACAACTGGAGAATACTGGAAGAAGTATAGGTAATAAGGATGTTCTTAAAATGTGTAGCTCCCAAACTGTTTAAGGCTTTAATGCTTAAAAACAGTACAGTGGACCCTTGACTTACAGACGGCTTGACTTACAGACTTTTTGAGTTACAGACTTCTCTGGC